CTTACGAGTGCACAAATATGAATAAGATACTGAGATCTGAGATACTAAAAAGTGCGCAATACGCTTGCGCAAATCTTCTGCAATTTTCGCGTAAGTAAGTCTCTTAAGAATATTCCTTTTTTTAAGGTAAAAAAACATCCGATAAATTTAAATTGGTTAGTGGCATTACATTAATTGCTTAATCATTGACATCATTCCGAGAAATGCTATTATAGTGCGAGTGTTTCGATCTCACGGTAGTATTATATGCCATCTTCTATACACAAGCGAAATTAAGAAAATTATGTTAAATTTCCGCAGTAATTTACGCCAAAAGAGAAAAAAGATGTCTTGTCGATAAATAAAAAGGAGGGGATGAGAACATAACATTCTCTTCCTTCGCAGTCATATTCTGGAGCTCATAGAGAGATGATCTGCATTGAGAGCCAATATTTTAGTCTTAATAGGACTCTTCTGATCGCTATTGGTTTGTGGCCCTACAAACAATCAAAACTTGTTCGTTTTCAATTCATCATTTTCCTCAGTACTTTGACAAGCGCTATTTTATTTCAAGTAAGATAATATTATAATATTATTATTATAAGAGAATATTAATAAAATAAAATAAAGTATAGTTACAGTAAGTATATTTACAACCATCTTTTATTAACACGCAATTTATATATTATAGTTTATATATATTAAAACATAATTATTACATGCTGTCTATACCGTAATTATTTAGATGTAAGTCATCAATTATTATATACAAAGATCTAATTAATAACTTTAAACGTATAGTTTAAAAGTTGTAATTACATAATTAAATAGAGAAGAATATGATATTTTAATACAAGCATTTTAATAAAATTATTGCTTTTAGTTTACCGCGCTTTTAACTGTCAAGCGTACTTCCGATAATGTCGTTAAAATTCTTTCTACTGCATTTTTCTTTACTCTCTTCGTAATAAAATATATCTCATTTGCTGTTAATATCGAAAATGTAAGTTGATTGTTAAAAGACGTTTTCGTTCTGTTTAAGTGCATATTTCTTAAAAAATATATTTGTAAGTAGCAACTCTTTTTTAAGTTCTTTCTCAATATATTTTAATTGTTAGATAGTAAAATTAAGTTAACGAACTGATAGGTACAGTATTTACTGACGCAACTTCAACATATATACAACAATCTAAAAGATGAATATGAGTATGTTATTATAGAAAAGTATAGCTACAATGCAAAATGGTACACAGTTATCCTTACAAGTAAGATAAATTTTTTATTTTTTACTATAATACAGTACAGT